CACACACGACTGTGAAAGCCGATATGTGGAGGAAGGAATATTTGGGGCTAGATCGTGGAAATCTAGCCCGTAGTAAAACATAAGGTCCCGGACGAAGGGGTGGAGGGGAAATCCTAGCCCCCGGAGGAAATAGGGGATGAACACGAGCCTCTCACCAGGCTCCGGAGTGGGGATAACCTGATCCTTGTCAGGGATCCTATGCGCGATATCCGCGGACAGATAGCCCGCGCTCCAGAGGTCCTGGACGTCCTTTTCGGTGACGGAGGAGGCCTCCCACTTGCCCTTGGAACTGGACTCGGCCATTGCTAGGGAGGGTGGCAGCGGTGGAGAAGATCAGAGCTGTGAGCGCTGGAGCTTGGAGGTTGGAAGACAGGGGCTAGAGGAAGGCGTGAATAAAAAGGAGGGATCTTTATCCTTTTATAGACGATGAAAATACCAAACATCCCCCTCTTAAGCCATAAAACTCGCATGTTCCCAGCAAGATCATGTGTAAGGTGCAGTTGGATTACCCAAATCATCTTGATGAGAATCCCATAATGGGCGGGCACGATCTGTCTTTTGACGAGACGTAGCTGGAAACGTGGGGAGGCGTGAAAACAGTTCAAAATGTTAAAGAGTCAAGTGTGACGCTTCACCGAAAAAGTTGTCAGTAAAAGACATTGTTCCTATTTTAACGTCTTGCCTTCGTGGCTAAGGGTTGTATTGATTATGCAGAGTCGAACACAGTTCCTTTATGCAGGAGGCTAGCTTAAATATTCAGGACAAGGAACCCGCCTTGTAATGTCGAAGATAATCCGCATGCCGAACACATCGTCAACGAAGACTGGTTCAGGGGCTACTAAGGGAGTCCTGGATTAGGGGGGTCCTCGGGTGGCCAGTCTATTCGATATGGGCCGGACCGATGGGCTGTGAAGATAAAGCGGAAGGCTATCCCCCGTGTCCGGGTAGGACTCCTATGTGTGTAGAACAACAAGTTTGGTGACCGGATGTAATGTTTCCTTCCTCTGCAAACCGACTTTATACAACCCTAGCCCCCTCCGATGTGTATATAAACTGGAGGGTTTAGTCCGTAGAGGCTATCAGAATAATCTTAGGCTAGATAACTAGGGTTTAGCCATTACGATCTCGAGGTAGATCAATTCTTGTAACCCCTATTCTCATCGGTATGTTACTTGCCCAAGATTCGATCGTCGGTATCTTCATACCTAGTTCAATCTTGTTATCGACAAGTCTCTTTACTCGTACCGTAATGCATCATCCCGCAACTAACTCATTAGTCACATTGCTTGCAAGGCTTATCATGATGTGCATTACCGTGAGGGCCCAGAGATACCTCTCCGATACTCGGAGTGACAAATCCTAATCTCGATCTATGCCAACCCAACAAACACCTTCGGAGATACCTGTAGAGCATCTTTATGATCACCCAGTTACGTTGTGACGTTTGATATCACACAAGGTATTCCTCCGGTATTCCGGAGTTGCATAATCTCATAGTCAAAGGAAGATGTATAAGGGGGTGTTTGGTTCAGGGACTTTTTAGTCCCAGAGACTAGAAAAAGTCCCTAGGAATCAAACGGGAGGGACTTTTTCTACAGGGACTAGAAAAAGACTCTATTGGAGAGTCTTTTTTGATTAGTCCCTAGGACTAGAAAAAGTCATAGGACTTTTGAAACAAACACCCCCTAAGTCATGAAGAAAGCAAT